CTTTAAGGTCCGTAGCATACATAAAATGTAACAAACAATGGAAAACACCCTTTCCATAAAACTACTCTATAAATACAATTTGAATACCAAGTTAAATATTCAGGAGAATAATTCTGACATGTATTTCGTGGGTTAAGCATGCGGAATACAAAAAAGCATTAGCCGAGCTCATTCTCACCATTCCACTGAAATTCTTACTACGCACTCTCAATTGGATCTAACCACTAGGGGTCAGCACTAAGCCCTTTCTTTATCCTGGTCAGGCGCACTTCCTCCATCAGCTCTTTGAGGTACTGAATCTCTCTGGCCATGGACTCAGCCTTCTCCGTCAGCTCCAGGTTCTTCCTTTCGAGTATGGCATGTTCTTCCAACAGAGCATCCTGCTCAGCTCGCTTCTTCTGTCTATATCGAGTGGCTGCAGTCTTATTCTGCTCCATCTTCTTGAGTTTCTTATCTCGTGGTGCCTTCAGTGGGACCCTATCCTCCATCGCGCTCTGGGAGGACTTGACCTTAACACTAGCACCTGTCGGAGGGGATGGGCAGACCTTGTACTTGGGCTCAGGGTAGGGTCTGCTGCGAGAGGCTCGTGTGGAAGGGGTGGGCTCAGGGGCCTCTGAGGAGGGGGTGGTGGTGGTTACAGTGGTGGTGCTGATGCCAAGCTCCTCTCTGGGGGCCAGCACCAAGACAATGCGAGTAGGGGAGAGGGACACCACAAACCTGGGGATCTGGGGGATGACTGAGGCGACCACTGGTTTCACCTCTGTCACCTCTACCTCACTCTCGGACACATCTACCTCACTGCCCAGCTCCAGAGTGTAGGGGGATGAAGGCTCCGGAGAAGCAGGCTCAGATTTGATCTCAAGCTCCTCCTGGGGCTCTGGGACAGAGGGGGGTGTGGAGGGAACCTCCTGACTGCCAACAGGAGAGGCAGGTTGTGGGATGGGAACAATTGAGTTGTCTTCAGGGGTAGTGGAATGTACAGAAGGAACCATTTCTGGAAGAGAAGCAGAGGAAAGACTGGTATGCACTGGGGAGGAGAATGTGGTCACAGGGTAGGGGTCGAAATCCATGGAGCAATCGAGAGAGGCTAGCAAGTCCTCTGGAGAGCTTGGAGAGTCTTCAGAAGGACTGCAGGACCCAATGAGAGAATCGAAGTCAAATTCCCTCTCATCCATCCAGTCGAGGTCCCCAAATGCGTTCTCTGGGAAACAAAACAAGTCTAGTGTAAGAGGCCAGTCAGCATTTAACGCTTGTGAAATCAACGTTCTCTCATCTTACCTTTGCTGTCATCTGAGACGGCATGACTTCTCAGTTGACCAGGATGGTCCAACCAGGAAATGGAGAGCAGGTCCGACTCAGACCCAGGTTTGTTCCCATGGAGACGGTCGGTGGGAGGCGAGGGGGGAGGAGAATAGAAGGGAGGGGGAGAGGAAGAGGAGGACAAAGATGAGTTGAGGGGTGACGCGGGTGAGGCGCTCCCCTCAAATGAATTTTCTCTGCGTTGTTCGTCTTGGTCAGGGTGGACAAAGAAGGAGTCCATGGGGTCAGCCATGGGAAAGGTAGGCCCCCATAGAAGGGCCTCCATGTCTTCCAGGCCAAACTGTGAGCTTGTCATCATCGTGGTCATAGTGGCTGTTGTTGGTCACAAAAGGGATGAGTGACAATAGTAGGGAAGTGTCAAACTCTTTAATGCTGTCAGATGCAGCAGTGCTGAGGGTTTCCTTGAAGGACCTGAAAATAAAAGACAACCATGGTAAAAACATGATCAGTGCACACAGAGAAAAATACCATCACACTTTCAGCACAATACTGCCCCCATCACTGCAATGCACCTGCTCAGGTCACGTGCTCAGACAGCCTCGTGACTTTGACGTCAGGCCGCCTCCAAATAGGCTCCCATCCCCCACAGACACAACACTACCATACTAGTCCAAATCCGCCTACAACTAGCCGCCATTTTAACACAAAAGAGGAAACCACCTTGAATGCCACGCTGGCATTTGAAGCGGTCTAACATCATGTCTGTAGTGTATAAATAGCAAGGTAAACGTTTGATTTAAACTAGGAACCAAATAAAATTTATATAAAACTAATCTAGTCTTTCTTCTACAAAAATATTGAATTTCATATGACGTCACATCGCCGCCTCACTATCAATTAATTTAATATCAGAAACATTAATACGATCATACAATGACAGGTTTTGTTTTACTTATGAATAAGGAATCGTTCATTTGTTTGAAGAAACATTTACTACAAACAGCGACGCCAGTGAGGCCTTAAGGGCCCAACAGGAAGAGGGAATGTTTGTAAATAATAAAAACAATACTTACGACATTTTGCTGAATTAGAAGAGGACTTCAGTGCACTTGCGTGATGCACTGTTGTTTTTGCTGCTGCTGGGACGCTGCACACTTTTACACTGCCATTTCGGCAAAAGGACGCGGTGCCTCAAAGCTGTAGTTTGTTGATCCTCTGGAGGGAAAATGGCGAAGGGAGAAAAGCGGCGGCGCTTTAGAGCATGGCCCTGCGCACTTATCCATCCGCGCAACACACTCCACCCACAAAAGTAGTTCCACCCAAAAAATAAACATGACACACTTTTTAAGACCGTCAATGTTAATACCTTTCAGTTACATACAAGGAAATATTTCTTATTTCCGCATATGACAAAATATCCATTCACAATGAAATTCATAAGGTTGCACTAACTAACTTTTCTGGTGGAGGGTCTGTCTGTTAGTTTAATAGATTCATGTTTGCCACCTGCTGCACTCTATGGAGATGCTATTGCTTTGCAAGGAATGTTCCAAAGTATGCCATTAATTTCTCTTCATGGAGACAAACAGGAGATGCCACCAGACCAAGTTTCAGATCCATGGAGATACGACCCCACTCAAAACACATTTATTTATTAAATAAATGCAATATTGATATGTTTATTACATTACTGTAGAATATTTACAGCAAGGCTCTAAAGTTTTTTTTATGGAGTTAAGCAGGTCATGTACCTGCCACTGAAAAGTTATACCTTTGATCAAAGACAAAGACAGCATTTCGGTACAGTGATCTCAATTAAACAGTGCCCACATATGATTTAAGTAATCCAATTCGTCCTGAAGATTTTCTGCAAGTAAACGCACTCGACCAGAAAACCTGCTCTTCCTGGACTTTTTCAGCTTCTGTCCTTCCCTCTCTGTAAAATAATAATCCAGTTCTTTGGCAAAGCAATGAAGCAGTCTTTCTGATGACATTCCTCCAGTCTGTGCTGCTGGGTTCCTCCTCACAGTGTCCATGTTGTTAAACACTGACTGAGTCAACTGTGCAATTTTCAGAGCATCGAGCTGGGCCCCAGCTCTCTGTAGCCGTGCAGAGTCATAGCGACGTACCTCGTTCATACCAGAGAGGATAAAGCACAAGCAGTGCTCTGGGTCCTTCACATTTTCAGTGTAGTCATTTATTAGTTTCTCAATTCCATCTCTTGTAATAACCTTTTTTTTGGTTTTAGCCACATGAGCAGATACTCCCCCAGCAGAAGCCACCATACCAGCGCCTACTGCTGTGGCAATAAGAGAAGCTCCAAGAGTCACTGGAGCCAGAGCAAGGCCCACCACTGCAGTGACCCCTCCTACAGCACCAGTGGTGCCTCCAGCCAGTTGGATCGTTTTCTTCCTTTTGAGCGCCTTGTCCAGAGCATCAGAAGTAGAGGTGAGCTCTGAGATGTAGTCTCGTAATATTTCACTGCGCCTCATCATTAGAAGATTGAAGAGGCGCAGAGCCTTTTTGAGGTTCATAGTTGTCTGATGAAAAGATCTGTAGTAAAAAAAAAAAAAAGTTGTAACTGTAACTGTTTTGGAGAGAACTCCAAAAATTACACTGTATATGTAGAAGTAATACATGGCATATTATCTAAATCTTATTTGCAGAATTGCAGTATGGTACCTGATTTCTTCTTCTAAACTAGCACCATATAAAGATGGAGTCATGTAGTCCGTTTCTGTAGAAATTAGAAAAAAACATAGGCATATTACATAGTACATAGTGACTATATTACAATATAATTTATACAATTAAAGAATCTCATTGTGCATGCATTTACTTACTTGACACTACTTTCAACCACCTTAACATCTCGAGTATTTCCTGAAGAAAAGATTATAATTTATGTTTTCTTCATTCAACGTTGATCTGATTTGTCGACAAAACAAAAGTTTGAATAAGACTATACCTGTGTGTAAATCGTGCTCGAACGATTTGTGGAAGAACGGCTACTGATAGTCTGTCTCTCAAGGGTCTAATAATACAAAATAAGACAAAAATAAAGATTATTTGTAATTAACATTAACATCTGAATTTACACATTTGCACATTTACCACTATCATTACTTACCACACTGTTATCATGTTCAGGCAGAATGTGCAAATAAGCTGGAAACTGTATCTCATTGTACACAGGTTCTTTTTCAGATGGTGGAGGAGGGGGTCTGAATGGCGGTGGCGGTGGTCTCGACTGGAACACAACATAACAGGCACATTGCAATGCATTGATGATTTTTGTTTTTGTTGGTTGGATACATTATCTATTGGAGATAAGAAATCAGCAGCTAAAAGTTAATGTTGACCTACAGTTTGTAAATATTTGGAATCAGTCCAAGTTTGACTTCTTCTGTAAATAGGTCTACAGAGGCAGACATACCTGGGAAGTCAGTGATGCAGAGGAGACGTAGGGTTGCTTGGGTTGAGGGGGCCGAGGTGGAATAGCAGGTTTCTCCATGTCCTCAGTCTGAATTACAACATAATTACAATGTGTTTGTTCTGTTTGTGGTTAGTATTTTTAGTGTTACCTAAAAACTAGCTTACTTTTTAAAACTTTTAAAACACTATAAAAGAAGAATCCTACCATCGGTCGATATATGCCAAAAAGATTGCCCTGATCGTCAGTGGGATCTGGAGACACAGGAGAGTGCTGCTCAGAGCTTATGGAGGAAGATATGGATTCTTGGCCGTCTTCATTGTCAGAGCACTAACAAAGAAAATAAGTATGTTAAAGTCAAAGTTAAAGTCACTCGCTGGTACTTTCACTTTTCAGAAAACACTGTACCAGAGAAGCAGGCTTGGAGATGCACGTGCGTATGCCGTAGTAACCAACTGGAGGTGGGGGTCGCTCGGGCCGAGGGAGTGAAGACGAACGCTTTACTTCATTCTTTTTGATATTCTAAAAAAAAAAAATTTAAATTAAAAATCACTAGAGTATAGGAAGTACTATTCAATTTTAAGATTTAAAGCTGCCATTTGTAATTGATCAGGTGAGTGGAGGGGGGGGGCATCTACTGTAGAAAAAAATGCATGTTTTTATACTGCTGATTTTATTGGAAAAGCACTTTAGGCATCTTGAGTTTTGTAAAGGACTCTAAAAGTAGAGATTGATTTATTGAAAAAAAAAACAAATACAACACAATAAACACAGAAGAGTTAGCAACGGATAGCAGATTTAAGGTCTAAATACATACAAAATATTAATAAAATAGTTAAAACCAGCTTGTAGCACTGCATGAGTTTGGACTTTTGTTATTTATTCATTTTTCTGACTTTGTGTTTACTTGATTTTACTGGTTTTACTGTTTCCGGACGAGATTAATGAGACATAAAAATGTTATTAAACATTCAGTACTTTTATAGTTTTCTTTGGAAACGATTCAGCAAAATGAAAAAATAAACAAGACACTGATGCTGTGAACTCACAAGTTACGGGACTTCCTTGTTTGCATTCTCTGCTGTAAAAATGTTGTTTAACTGCAATTTACAGAGTCAACTTACAATGAGAGGTAAGGGTTCAGTGGCCAACACATAAGTGCTCTCTAGAGGAGGTGGTTTGGTGGATTCAGAAGACTGATTCTGGTGACAAAATAAAGTAATGAAATCAGTTTTTTTTATGTAAATGGTCACACCAAATTCATAAAACGAAAAAGAATTATCTTACCGGTTCATTGGTGGTTTGGTCTGTGGAGGGGGATACATCAGTTTGGTTCTCAGTACAATCAAGGTTTATTTTGGACCTGGGTCGTGGTATGGGCTTGGCTGTTTCTTCCGATTCACCATTATCTGTGGGAGCAGGCTGGGGAAAAAAATCATTCTTTGTTTTGGTATGTAAAAAATTGCAAGCACAGTAACTCTGGAATTCAACACTACCAGTTTTTCTGAAATCTGAATCTATAGGTTCTGATTTAAAGGTGCATATAGACTCATATTTATAGGCACCATTTTGAGTACTTTTGATGATTCAAAGGATTTTGAAGTGTTAATTGCTATGGCAGCACTGATCATGTTTTATAACTCTGCAACCAATCTATAGTACTTCTGTAATTCTGTTTTCAATAAAGGATGAATAAAATAGGTTTACTTGTTACCTCAGTAGGTTTTGACAGACAATTGTCCTCTTCTCCAGTCTCCTGGTCATCTGATGAACTTGGAGACATGCTGGACGATTGGTTGGAGCTGAGTGTGCTATCAGTAGTTTCCTCCACATCTTCAATGTCAGGGGGCTGTCAAAGAAATCAAGCCCCATGTAAAAGAAACTACTACACTAATGTTGAACTATTTACTGTATTGTTTACAGATGTTTAGTTTGAACGTACCTTTTTTGTGCCTAACTCCTCAGGGATACTTTGAATTGTAGTATAGGAGCTTGTTATCCCAGAAGTCATCATGCGACTTAATCATTCTGTTAGGATTACACATACATCACTTAAAAATGAAACCTGGTACTATGTGACACAAGACAGTCTGAAAAATCAACCCAATAATTTGTCATCTATATTCTACTATAATAATTTTGTAGATGATAAGTTTGATATTTTAGGTATGAGGTCTTTGTTGATGTATGAATGCATGTAAAATTTTATATAAAAATATATAAGTGTTGTTCTTACCGTCACTCTACAGAACAAATGTCTTCTATAGCCGGTCCATGTTGTCTTAATAGAGCCACAACAGTCCACATTCTGGTTCACAGATCTGTTCACAGATGCCAAACATGTTTGCTCCGCCCACTCTTTTTGTTTTGCCCTCTCCCTGCCGTTCATTCTGTCATCATCTGTGAAGGTGTGTTTACCTGGGCCTCCCAGAAAAAGCAAGGGCGGTTCCATGTGGTAACGCTTATGCATGTTTAACACAATAAAAGATCAAATGGACAAATATTTACACATGTAAATTATTTCACTTAGGCCTAGAACTGCTCATTCTCTGCTTTGAAAAAGAACACAATTTTATTCAGTCAAATGTCACTTAGGAGTCTATACTGTAATGTGTATATCAATATATATATTGTTTTTTTCCGATCATATTTGTCAGTTGGGGAATGCGAGCCTATCTGAACTGGTTCAACTGGCCCAGTCAGTAAATTAATCTGAGTGAAGGCTCCCTGGTTTGTCGTAAGACGGGAAGCGCCTTTTGTTGAATGCTACTTTAGATGACTCATGGACATGCTTGGGTTAAAGTAAATTAATGTAATTTGTTATCAGAATTCACACTTTAATATTTGAAATTCCATCACTTTCCATTCTGAAAGAGATAAGAAAACAGAATTTCCTTTTTTTTTAATGGTTACAGTTCATAATGAACATCTGGGACAAATATAATGTAAATATATTAATAAGGGACTGCTGAGTTGATTGTCTTTTATTTAAAGTGTCTGTGGTTGAGATTCTTATTATTATTCCAATATTTAGTCCTTTGACTGACAACACTGTCTGTCCAAATGTGGTGTGTGTCTGTGTGGTACCTCACTCTCCATGAACCGTGGCCCTGGTGGTGACTATTCCACTCACTCGCTAAGGTTTGAAGAAGTCTTACTTGATGGAGGAGGGGCAGTTAAATGAAAGACTTTTTTTTTTTTATTATTATAAAAGATTTGATTATTGTAGTTCTTTCTAGAGAAACACCAAAGGTTGAAGTGCACGTCAGCATGTGGAAAAATATGCTATATGTAAATACTACAACTAATATTAATACTGTTATTACTACTACTACTACTACTACTAATAATAATAATAATCATCATCATCATCATCATCACCATTATAATTCCTTGTGTTTGTAATGCACTTCAGGCATACAGGCTTCTCAAAACATACTGTACACACTGTAAAGCCTCTTCTGTAGTCACCATAGACTGAATAAACAGTGTATGGTAGCCTCAGCATGAGTCACAGCTGCCCTGGGGTAGAAGGACAGAAGACAGGCTGCTAATCAGCGACATGAGCCCCTGAGATCATCAACACTCACTCAGAAATCACATTTATATTGCGTAAGGTGGGTGAAGTGTCTTGCATAAAAAAACTACGACAGCACTTGGTCATTTGTGTCATGTGTCTTGAAAAGTAGACCTGTATCACTTTGAAGCTCAGATTTGTTTCTCTCTCTAATATAAGTCACAAGTCTATAGATATCAAAAAATGTTTACCTCAAGGTTTGCATTTTCCATTTCGCTACATTCAATGCTATTTCTTTTATTAACCAAAACAAACCATTGAACCACGCTGCAATGGTGGCGCCATTTATTATATGAAGTTAATGGCCGCACCCCTCAGCCAATAGGAACTGTTCACGGGCTTTTTCGGCCAATCGTCAAGGCTTCTAGCGGAATAAAACGATTAGCTACGAACTTTGCCGAATCGAGTTCATTTAGCAGACTGCGTCACATGAATCCCTTTTTGAAACGGTTCATGAATAAATACTTTAGTGTATGAATAAATACTTTTGTAACACCGCTATGACTCGGTGTGTATTACTTTACGCATTCCTGGTGCTTGGTACAACACTGACTTCGGCTCTTATAAGGTAAATTATTATTTTCTCCTTTCTCCATAATGTAACAATTTGTTATTCGCTACTGCAACACACTTAACAAATTGCAGAATTGTGATGTCGACGTAAGAAAATATGTAAACTTAGACCTATGTCTGTTTTTTTTTTTAGTTGTGTAATGTTAATTAGTCTCACGTGCTTTTCTTATTTATTGTGTGACATTTGTACTTTTGCAAGTATACGGAAGTTGGCTGACTGACTGTTGCGTGTCATCACTTCAATAGCCTGTGTATTTTTAGGGTTCCTCTTCATAAAACCAGAAGCCTGCGGCGTATTTTGAGCGATAATGGCAAGTCCCTGGAGGAGCTGCGCGTTATGGCACAGTCCTCACTGGACCACTGGACACCCGCTCCAAATTTGCCCGTGGAGAGGCTGACAAACTTTATGGATGTATGCAACGTTAACTGTCATTGCTTTCACACATATCATATTTACTGATGGTGCCGATGAAGCTTATTACAGAGTAGAAAAGCAGAACAACACAGGAAGTACACACCTCAAGTGTTAAAAATTTCTGCAATTTAAAACACACCCAAGGACCAGGATCAGCTTACTTACATACATATGAAAAGTATTTTTGCATTGCTCATGATTTATTAGCGTTTCATAATTGGATATGACATTAAAAATGAAAGATTAACTTATGTACAATAATAATGTCTTGACAGGCTCAGTACTTTGGATCAATTAGTATTGGTACTCCTCCACAAGAATTCACTGTCCTGTTTGACACCGGCTCATCCAACCTCTGGGTTCCCTCTGTCCACTGCTCCTTTTTGGATTTGGCCTGCTGTACGTTTCTTTATCATATGTTCTGTGAAACCATAAAACAGTGATATGTGTGAAGCAAAATGGCTGAGTTGCTAGAGCCTCACAGCATGAAGGTCCCTACTTCCCCCTATACGTCCCTATACGCCGTCCTCTGGATGGCGTATAGGGACTTTCTGAGTGGAGTATGTGGCATTGAAGGGTAGCTCAAATATATAATATCATAAGTGTATATGACAGAGTATTATGTTTCAAGTGATACAAGTTTTATATATGGCATACATAATTACATAATATCTTTTCTTTTCCTAACAGGGGTCCATCGTCGCTACAACTCAAAAAAGTCAAGTACCTATGTTCAGAATGGCACACAGTTCTCGATCCGTTATGGCCGAGGCAGCTTGTCTGGCTTTATCAGTGGAGACACAGTTTCTGTGAGTTATCAGCCACATTCCCTCTTTCACAAAGGCCTTTGTTGAGTTGCATTCCTGTTTTTATTGTAGCCATGTTATTCGCATGATTTAGAAAATTATTTCTTCACGCTCCTAATTTCCTGTGCCCTCAGGTGGCTGGTTTGCCTGTGCCTAAACAGCAGTTTGGTGAAGCAGTTAAACAGCCTGGCATCACGTTTGCAGTGGCCCGCTTTGATGGAGTCCTGGGCATGGCTTATCCTTCTATATCTGTGGCCAAAGTAACACCAGTGTTTGACTCCGCCATGGCAGCTAAGCTGCTACCACAAAATGTCTTCTCATTTTACATCAGCAGGTTTGTGTCTGCCTCTAAATACTGACCTGAAGGAAGTCTACATCATGGCTAATACAGACCCATATGTTTTAGAGATCCTCTAGCAGCTGTAGGAGGTGAGCTAATCCTTGGAGGAACTGATCCACAGTATTACAGTGGGGAGCTGAACTATGTAAACGTCACTCGAAAAGCTTATTGGCAGATTCAAATGTCTGGGTATAAAAATTTTGATTTGTTTTGTCATGTAGTGAGAAATGAAACTGTTTTCAGGATTACAGTCAAAACATAAAATCTCACTGTTACAGGATTAATGTTGGAAAACAACTGACTCTTTGTAAAAGTGGATGTCAAGCTATTGTTGACACAGGGACATCTCTGATTGTGGGTCCTGTGGCAGAAATCAGGGCTTTGCATAAAGCTATTGGAGCTCTGCCTTTAATAATGGGGGAGGTAAGTCTTTCTACAGTGCAAAATCACCATAGCAGTTCAGTTTAACACTGTAAACTCTATCTACCCCTGCAGTACATGATTGACTGTAAAAAAATCCCAGCTCTACCAGTTGTGTCTTTCAGCATTGGTGGAATTATGTATAACCTGACTGGAGATGACTATGTCATGAAGGTGGGAATAAAGTTTCTATCAAATGATAAATTAACAAAAAATATGTATAAAAAGGCTAAATGCCTCAATCCCTAAAACAGGAATCTCAGATGGGAGTGTCTGTGTGTCTGTCTGGGTTCATGGCCATGGACATCCCTCCTCCTGCAGGACCACTGTGGATCCTCGGAGATGTCTTCATAGGGAAGTACTACACTGTTTTTGACAGGAGTAATGACCGTGTGGGTTTTGCCCCTGCTAAATAACTTGTATCTTTTCCTTTAGTGTTAAACTGTATATTAAGTCCAGTGTGTTTTGAAATATCTTTTCACAAGATGTCACTTTGTTTTATGTTTTAGCTTTCATGTCATGTAATATTTGCAGGTTGAAATCCATGTTTAATTGATCGCACAAAAGGAATTGTACATTTATTTATGTGAGGCCACACATGTAATCTTTGTGCATTTAAGGTGTTCTTTAAAAATTAAGTATAATGCAGTATACGTAAACATTTCTATGGTGATATAGGAAATCAAATTAATTGAACATAGTTGTTTGCAACATTTAATGTTGGTACCCCAGGGATGAGTACGAGGCAACAGCATGCAACACAGACCCACAGAGCAGTACAGAGCTTCTGATGAACATTTAAATAATGTGGCACTGTGTCCATCACTCTGACAGTGCAAGCAGCATGATGTCCAGTCTTTATAGTACATACAAGCAGAAATAACCCATAGAAAATAAATGTTTCCTTTGGTTTACAAATGTACATTAAATACATTAAATAAAGAATAACCAGATTTGGTTCTTGTTCATTAAATAAAACAACACTCCACTTTGACAATAGTTTGTTTTAGCCACTTTTCCTAAGGCTGTGCAGTAAGTAAACACGTTTAGATTGATGACATCCCTTAACTATGCTTTGTAAATGCTTCATGTTTGTATCATATTTGTGAAAGTGAAGCATTGTTGCACAATCAAAACTAAATCTCAGATGTGTTAAGTATCCATTAATAACAACAAAGTTAGAGATGACGCCACCTAGTGGCTTTAGAAGTCAAACTGTGGCCTGCGCAACTTTATTAAAATTAAAGGACTTTCCAATAACACTTTAGTTTTCCCCAAACCACCATATAAGTGAAACCAACAGACGGTCATGCTAAGAGCAATTTGGCATTTATGTCTCCATAATGGAATAAAAGTTCAGAACACACAAGAGAAACGAGCGTTCCAATATCAGATTATAATTCTGTCACATGGAAATATTTTTGTTCATGACATTATTCAATTTGAGGCCTTCTAATAAAAATGCCAACCCACTTCCTTAAACGGTGCAGTGACAGATTTTCTTCCAGTTACATGAATGGCTTAAATTAGTCAGACTATATTTGCATTGTTCAATCTTAGGCTATAAGAAAACATGCTTTAAGTATTGAAATCAAGTCTGTCTTTTGTGGCAAAATTAGATGTTTTGGATTTTCTAGAAACTGAGTGTTGTCTAATCATTTCAGAACATTTATAAAGAACTTAAATTAGAATTTATTGTAACAGTAGCACAAACACAGTCACAACTGACAAGTCATACGTGGTTATTGCGGTAACGTCTAAACTTGAAGCATCATATGCTAGTATCCCTGAAATATTTTACCTATTTAAAAACACAATGTTTGCCACTAAAACTTAACAGTGGCTTCAGAGTTACAAACTAATAATCAAGCCTTTCTTTAATATCAAAATAAAATAATTTATTTGGATATCATAAAGCCTTATGTCAGAGGTTGAACTGCACTCAGTATAGCAACCACTTTATTTAGAATAGGTCATAAAACAAAGAACATGTGTCCATGTGAAGGATGTATTCATGCATCCATTTTTGCAAACACTGACAGATTAGATGTCAGGGGGGTGCTTCCAGGGCAGTTCTTAAAAGCCCCTCTGGGTCTGAAAGAGCACAATAAAGTGTATATCCCAGTTCGTCCACTTCCTGTTCAGTGAGTTCACAGAATAAATTAACTTTGGGGTTGAGAGCGCATGGCAGTCTCCCGGCTTCTAAGTGTCCAACTAGAGCTCGCAGCAGCTGCAGAAAGCGATCAGCTAGTGCTTCCTGTGTCCAGTCCCCTTCCTTCTCACTCAGCAGTAAAATGGCATTGGTCAGCTGGCTGGCATTGAGCCGGCTAAGAGCAGGGTTTAATTTGCACACTGCCTTGGCTACCTTCAAACAGGTGCAGCGACAGCCTCCGTCCTCCTGATCCAGAGCCCTGAGCCGAGCGGTCTCTGCCACACGGAAACTCTGACGCCACAGGTTCTCATGGCGCTCTGCGGCCAGACGGTGGGGCTTGGCAATAAGTGATGTTCCATCTTCCATCACCAGTAATGGAAGGAAATCCACATAAAGCTTTCGATCAGTTTCATACTGCACCTCCAGGGTGAGTGTTTCAGAGGGAACCACTGGACGGATGACATAATCAAGGACACTTCCTATGGCAGGCCAGTTGATAGAGCCAGCCACAAGCTTGTCAAACACCTCCAGAACTGATTTGGGAGACAGGTACCCACCCACCATGCACCGGTCCCAGTAACTACTGTTTCGTGGAAAATACTCCAAGTTTTCCCTTCGGAGAAGCCAGAAACCTGGGACATTCATAATGGTGTCTTCTCCAGGGATGGATGACCACAGATTCTTCTCCAAGACGAGAGGCACCATCAGCTGAGCATGATCTGCTGTTACAACCTAGAGGTATTAGAAAAAGTCAACAATTAAACATTTGTTACTGCAGGGTTTTCAAAGTGCATAACCAGTTTATTCTTTGTACCTGCAGATCATCATATAGGCTGCCACTGAGGTACATCTCCCTTAGTGGCATGTCAGGCAACTTGGCATGAAGGAACACTCTGAGCTCAGCGCAGATGTCAAGGGCTGCCCTCCTGGCCATAGCCTGCTCCTCAGAAGGAATATTCACAGAATTTTGGTAGAATTCCCACAGACGCTCTTGCAGTGAAAGGCGCATCCGGGCTCGAAGCAGGTCTGCCTCAGCCGACCCAGTAGCGCCCATAGCAGCTCGACCAACAGCTCTTCGGAGGCAGTCTGAAGAAGTCGTTATTTACATGGTTACTAAAGTTTGTTTATATGAGAGACTACAAAATACAAATGTTATTGTATCTAAATTTGATTTCACACAGTAGGTAACCAACACACAAATTATCCTAACACTGGGGTGAGTTTATATTGCTTCATTAAATGCACTTTATTGCTAATCAACCAATACAAACACAGCGAGCTAAAGAGTATATTCCAATTTTATATTACTAACTATATTCTAATTTTATTTTACTTGCTACAGCTCCAAACATAAACAAAACCCACTGTAAAGAAAAAGCAAGAATCCTCCAAATAGGCTGTCTGTTAAAATATTTTGATCACAAGTTATGTAACAACAGCAAACATAAACTGACAGTAAACAAAAGGCACATTACTAATGAATCCTGACCTGGTTGAAAAGATTGTGAAGAAGTAGGCAGAGACTGTAAGGAGCGGCTCACAGTAGACTTCATGTCCTGGTTCAGGACCCGAGGTGAAGAGCCCATCCAGGCAGGTTCTTCCCAGCTTCTCTTTCCTGATTTCTCCATTTTTGTAGGGCTTGTGGGAACACTTACAGCGCGATCATACATCTGTAAAAAACACTGCTTTACAAAATGTGTTTAAAAATTCTATTTAAGGGAATGTTAATGTCACTTACTCTTTTGACAGCAAGTGTAGCAATACCAAGCATGGCCGCTCCCCCCACGCCTAGTACAAGTTTGGCATTAGAAAGCATAAAGTCTATCGCCGTCCCAATGCCATTGTCATCTTTCTTGCCCTTACGATCTCCATTCACACCCGCCATGGTGACACTGAGAGGACATAAGTTAAGAAACACTTTATGGCATCGACTAAAATATTAAATGTGATTTGATGTTTTTCATTTCCTCACCTCGGAGGTAGATTCCAGGTGCTTTAATTTGCCTATTACTCTACATAAGCCCTCCAAGTTTGCTGTTCAAGAAGAACTGCCCCCTCTTTAGAGCATCCTCCTTCTCTTGGGGTCCACTCAGAGTTTGGCAGCGGCGAAACTCTCGGGTCACGGCGCGGCGGTAGTAGTTTCTGTCGGTGTACTGGAGGTGCCGCCCCGCACGGAGGAGCGCTCTGTACAGCTCCAACACTGCACTACGTGACCAGCCACCCATTAGTGATCACACAAGGAGAAAGAACCACCCTGGCAAAGAGATTTCACTATGAAGCATTGTGTACACAGTGTTTTGTAAAATACCAAATAGTAACAAAAAATAGTAGCCAATGCCAATTCCATCACCCCTTAAAGTACACATTCAGTAGTATCTACGCTAGGCTCCAATGGCCTTTATAGGAGAGTGTAAGCTGTCTCATGTATTACCTGAGTGTATAAATGAAAATTACATCTCAGGCAAAATCTGAACACACATTTCAACCAAAGCATGGCTACTCCAACCAAGTGTCGCACATTTCTTGCACTGACTTAGCTCCATTGGCTATGTAGCTTCTTGGCTAAGCGAGTACTGACCTTACAATAAACTACTCACATTTCCAAATCCACTCAAGAAAACACGATCGATCATTTGGCAAAAAAAAAACCCAGAAACCTGACAACCATTAGCACCCCCAAACTTACAATTCAGGTACGAAGGTGAGATTTTCACAGTTTAAAGAAGAAAAGCTCTTCTCCAGCCGGGGGTCAGACCTGAATAGTACCGGAAACACTCGCCTGTGGAATTACAACATCCGGATTAGAAGAAAAAAAAAGTTTATTATTATTTTTTTAAATAAATGAATAAAAAACGTAGCTCTACATATGGTTTAAGGTACTGGCAATCCAGGTTATTTGTGACTGTAGTATCTTTTTTTGAAACTGTAAGCGAGACAGCAAAGAGTTAAAGCAATAATTAAATATAGTATAAAAACATAGTGTGTATAGCTATAATTAAAAAAAAAAGATTGAATTATTGTTACTTCAATAAAGTACACATGTATTGGTCATTTTCAGACTTTATAATGTGATGACAAATAAATAAACTTTTCTTTTTTTTTCTTTTCTTTTTTTTCATAAAAAACCTTTTCTATTGTTGGGTTTCAGTCGAAATCACAGCATTCTATAGGCCAATATTAATTTATACAGATGGGGGGCAGCTAAAAAAAAAAGTTAAAATGCTAAATTGTATTGTAATACTGTGAGCTCAAGGGTTTAGTCATTAATTGAAAAATCTCATGTTCAACAGTTGTGAGTTTACCTTTTGGATACTTCATGGCAAAGTACAATAGCGTCAGTAATCAATAGGGAAATCTAGCGCTTTATCCCCATCTGGGAGTATGACATCATCACATTCAAGAATCAGAAAACCACCAATACATGTACATCTACTTTACTGAAATACTGTAACAATAATTCAATCATAATATGTTTAGAAAAGCTAAACATAGTATATTTAAACATTGTATTTACTCCATAGACCGTATATATTCTTTTATACAGTTCATGATTAACTCTTTACACTTACAGTTTCAAAAATGGTACTACAATCATAAATAACCTGGGTTAACCCGTATGTAGAGGTACGTTTTTCCTCACGTGAAAGCTCAGAAACAACAGAATTCACTCACTGAGCTGCAGAGGCTGCACTAGCACAGATTAAATATTAGCTGCTGGTGCTGGGGTTTAGGTAGTGAGGCTTCTGTTGAGAGTCATTTTAGGTTCAAGCCAAATGGATTTAAGAATTTAAACTAGCAACCTTAATGAGACTCACGTGAGGTTTATTTTGCTTTCTGACTGAATAATAGTATTGAGAACCAAAACACCAAATTATAACATAAACATACACAGAACAAAGGTTAAAGTGTGAGTGCTTCACTGGGTCAAGCTATGTGCAACAAAAATGCAAAAAGTCAATTGCTCCTCCAAGACAAAACAACCACATTCATTCATTTTTATTTTTTATTTTTTTTTTGGGGGGGGGGGGGTTAACAAAACATCCTGAAATGTCTTGCTGTGCAGCAAAGAAAAGGACTAAGTTGTAACATTTTAATGATCTTATAACTCCAAAATTCCGATAAAAATCACAGTGTGTGTATGTAACCACAGCTTTTGCGTATATTTATATTTCCACATATGAAAGTGATCTGAGTCACATAAAAAAATAAAATGAAAATCAGATTCGGCCTGTTCACAATGACATTAAAAAATCTAATTCAGGCTCTACTTTGAGCTCCTGTCTCCTTACACTGTCTCTAAGGGAGAGCCCAGCAACTCTGCAGAGGAAACTCATTTCATGATCTTATCCTTTTGGTCATTATCCAAAACTCATGACCATAGCAGGACATACTTGTGAATTAAAGAAATAAAAGATGAAAGAGATTGTACATACAACCCTCTGACCATCACCAGTCACCATATTATTAAACATAGGTGGGTTAAGTGTCTTGCCCTTGTCGTGCAACGGCATCACACATAAAATAAGCATTAGTTGCCCATTTCTTTACCAGAAATTATTGGATTTTGGAGAGTCTTTTGGGAAAAGGGCTACCCAAAAAACAAACATGATATTACAAACGCACTACAATAGGTGGCGGCATATACCAGTTTAGTTAGTAGTAGCTCAAACAGTCCTAACTCAGAGAAGAAGTGAACTGACCTGAACTCAAGAGTTGGACTTGCACACAGAGTTGTATGCAAAGTTGCAGTCATGGGAATGCAAACCCAGGCACTTGTGTCTGCGAGATGGCTTGCAAATATGGTCAAAACCAATCTGGTCGGGCCAAGTCTGCGCATTTTGGACACGTCCTGGTACCTTCCCATGATGAACCGAGACGGAAAGAAGGAGTTTGCTCAAACCCACATTCCAGGAGCGTCCCATTTTGACATTGATGATTGCTCAGACAGGACGTCGAAGTATGATCACACGCTGCCCAGTGAGGAGTTCTTTGCTGAATACGTGGGCAACCTTGGGATCAGTAATAACAGCCACGTTGTTGTGTACGATGCCAGTGACTTTGGTGCGTTTTCGTGCACCAGGGTCTGGTGGATGTTCCGCTTGTATGGCCATTATCAAGTGTCGGTTCTGAACGGCGGCTTCAGGAACTGGGTCAAAGAGGGACACCCCGTGACAGACCAGTATATCAAGCCACAACCAGTCAAGTTCAGCGCCAAAATAAACCGTGAATGGGTCAAAACTTTTGAGGACATGACAGAGAATATAACAACGCAGCGATACCAAGTGGTAGATGTGAGACCTTATGAAAGATTTCTTGGAAAGGAGCCCGAGCCACGAGAAGGTAATATTGGGTAATCTTTATCAATTAGTTCATGATCTCGGGTCAGAATAGCCTAAATATTTTACAAGGATATAAAGTTTGAAGTTCTACAAAAGAAAATCATAAACCCTCTCATGTTAGCCTCTCATGGCATTTCCTTCCACCTCTCCCACCCTGATATGGTAGATCCATTGAGGAATGTTGCTGAGACATCTGATAACACGCAATTGTCCCTTAGTTGAGATCCAAGCATGGGGTTGAAATACTTCTAATTAATTCTAGATGCACTTTGTAGAGTTTATAACCCAAAAGGAGCTGGTCTAATTGCACCTACTCACACCAACCCCTAAGCTGTTAACAAGAGGACACACAAATGCTTTATGACCATCGGTGTACCTCCAGGTTTATGTTCAAACCTCCTTGTTAAAGCTTAATCTTTTCAGATCTCAGAGGCTAAGCAAGGCTAGGCCTGGTTAGTACTTGGAAGTAAGACTGCTGGGAATACCAGCTTCTACAGTGGGACGCAAGTGGCAAAACTGTCATTGTCTTTAGGCAAGTCACTTCACCCATATTGCCTAGTATTTATATGGGTGTGTGCGTGAGGGTGGTAAAAGTTGCTTTGTTTCTGTGTATTCCAGGGCAGCTATGGCTACAATAGAAATTTACCACAAAGTGTGAAATGAATGTACCAAATTTTAAAGCGACTCTGAGTGTCTGGAAAAGACTATGCATTAATATTATATATGTATGCTATTCCTAGCCAATATTTTTTAGGGAAGACTAACAATTATTATTATATTTTTATCTATGTCATGATTAGCCCTTTCCTATCACTGGCATATTTAAAAGGTTTATTACAAACCAGCATGTTCTGAATTTTGTGCCATACCCTTCAGGTGTGGACCCAGGCCACATCCCGGGGTCAAAGTGCATGCCCTTCTATGACTTTCTGGATGAAAATGGCATGATGCTTACTCCAGAGGAACTGAAGAGGTTTTTCCAAAAGACCCAGGTGGATCTGAAGAAGCCCTTGTGTGGCACCTGTGGGTCTGGGGTGACGTCGTGCCACATGGTGCTGGCGGCTCACATCTGCGGTGCCCCGGGTGCGACTGTGTATGATGGCTCCTGGTATGAGTTTTTCACTAAAGCTCCCAAAGAACACATCGCCACCGGCATTTCAAGCAAGCTCGGAGGTTAGAGTACAACATTTCAGTCATATTTGATATTTTATCAAAGGCACATTAGATGCAAAATAAGTATTGTAATAAGTATACCACACCAGTATAACAGGAACTGCAAGTTACAAATGACAATTTGTCACAAGAAATATATACACATCTACTACCTACCTAATCAAACTATTAACTGTTCAGTAGCCTACTTTTTGTTACCTGCCAGGACCAGAACTGTCCATGGTATGACACCAGATAGTTACAGCTGTATCATGGGATCTGTGCCAAAAATCATCATTGTCATCAGTCTCTAGTAATTGTCACTTCTCCTTTAGTGAAGCAGCAGAATATCTGTTATGTTCTTTGGATTCTGAGGATAGACATCTTGAAACTGAGACTGGTGCTTTAATAATTGTGGAAACAGCCTACCGTTACTATATTATTGATGAAACTATTAAACAAACCTTTTTTTTTTGTTGTTGTTGTTGTTGTAAGATTTAAGAATAAATGTGATTTGAAAGCATTGTTGTGATTTCCTTATTTGGTCCTTATTTGTGGGTGGTGCAGGGATTACTACTCCTATTGATTGCCATTTCCAAAAGTTCAACCCTCTTCTGATGTAGATTAAGCCCTTGTGATACAACACTCCCCCCTGTGGTCCAGTCTACGGCAGCCACGCAGTTCCATCATGGCGGCCCAAGTTCGTACTCTGGTGTCAGCTCAGTGGCTTTTAGATGCCATCAGAAACAACCGCATCGGTCCAAATCTCCGGATCCTTGACGCGTCTTGGTACCTTGCGAAAACCAAGCGGGACCCCAGAGCTGAGTTCGCCCAGTCCCATATCCCTGGCGCCTCCTATTTTGACATTGATGACTGCTGTGAATACCACCCGGAGCTGGATCACATGCTGCCAACTTCGGAGCGCTTTTCTGAGTACGTAGGGAAACTCGGAATCGGGAACGAGACGCACGTAGTTGTGTACGACACCCACGACTTCGGTGCGTTCAGTGCGCCCCGGGTTTGGTGGATGTTCCGACTGTATGGCCACAATATGGTGTCGGTTCTGGACGGTGGAATGAAGAATTGGCTGCAAAATGAGTACCCCGTGACAGCAGAGTACACTAAACCCGAGCCCCAGAAGTTTGAAGCCTCCCTGAATAAGTCCTGGGTGAAGACCTATGACGATATTATGCAAAACGTCCAGACCAAGAGTGTGCAGGTGGTTGATGCCAGGTCTGCGGGCAGATACAGAGGCACGGAGCCAGAGCCCAGGGATGGTGAGCAAAATTATCTTAAATGGTCAGGTTTTAACCTAAGAGTATTGAGGAATTATAAAATGAATACAAGTTTAATCTAAATGGTGTTGGTGACCTGATTTAGGAATTACTGGATATTTGGGCAAGAAAAATGGGCCATTATCTCAAATTAATAGGTCTAATAGGCTTTAACTGTAAGAAATTATTTTATTTATTTATTTATTTATTGCTCATGTTATTGTTTTGTTGGCATCAATTTAAAGAGAAGAACAACCACAACAAAAAATCTGACAATTAACAAATACATATTCCAACCATTATTTGCCTTGTCTTTGCTGCATGAACAAAAAGGAACAGGAAGAGAATCAATCTTATAAACTCTGCTCCTTTCCCAGATCAAAAAAATAAAAATTTCTTTAATAATCAATCCACACCCTGTCTTATGTAAGATATTAAATAATTCTGACATGGAAAATGTAATCAGGACCCATTTTACCTATATTTGCAACTCATCTCCTACTAGACTAAAAATCATTTTAGACCATAGGCCTACGTATAGTTAATTATTGTTGGCATGGTGAAGAGCATGGTCATAGGACATGGAATACATACATTTAACTGGGTCATTCGCAGAGGTGGAGAAAACACAGGCCTATGTGGAGATATGTTTACTTAAAAATATTACTGTGCATCCTTTAAAAAATGGAATATGTTGCTTTCACATGCTGTCAGAGTAAACATGGGCAATGAGGTAAAAATAATAATAAGAATAGCAATAATAATACATAAATCTTTATTAAATCAAATAAGTATGTTTTTCAATCGTAACTTCATGGACATAACTAGATCTTTTATAAGTGCCAATAAAAACAATTGACTGAGTTTAACAATGATTGATGTTAATGTTTTTATGTTGGATTGTCAGTAAATTTTTGATTAAAAAGATGATGATTAATTTGTAATATTTAGATTATTTATGACATTTTCAATAATTGTCCAATGCTATTCTAAGGGTAATTCATTATTTTTGAAAGAAATATCCAGCCCTAACACTTTTTTCGTAGGGACTGTCCACAAACTTACCTTATTAATCTTTGGTCCTTTGATTTTTGAACTGTCTCTATAGTTTAGTAATAGCACCACTTTTTGAGGCTTTAATAATAAAAAAGATTGTTTCACTATAGTTCACTTGTACTAAAGAAGTTGAACGTGGCACCAGACTTGTTTGCATTTCATGGGGTTGGGGCCAGGAATTACACATTAACTCATAAGTGAGGACAAAGCAATAGTAGAGTTTAATAGAGTTTAAATGCAAATTTTACCTCAGTTTGAAATAATACAGCTCTTTAAAATGTTGTACATCAACTCCTAATTTTGCCATTTCTTTTTACAGATGTTCTGCCTGGCCATTACCCCGGTACTATCAACATACCCTTTAACTCACTCTTGGACGAGTCTGGGAAAGTGCTTCCAACTGAAGACTTGGCAAAGATGTTCAAAGAGGCAGGTGTGGACCTCCAGAAGCCACTGTGGGCCACCTGTGGATCTGGGGTCACTGCTTGTGTCGTTATTTTAGGTGCTCACCTGCTTGGGCACCCTGGGCCCTGTCTGTATGATGGCTCCTGGACTGAATGGTTTAAAAAGGCACCTCCAGAATACATAATTTCTGAAGGACAAGCCAAGTGAAAGCTGCTTTGTTTTTGTAATTTAGTTTTGTAACACATTTAGACAATGTGTATAAAAAATGTTTTTGGGGGATTTTTTACAAGTTTCAGGGTCAATTACAACTGCATAATTGTTGCAATAGTAAAGCTTGTCTCTAACACAAGGGCAAGTGGAGAGGAGGTTGAAAGTAATTCAGTCATTTACTCCACAAGATGCGTTAAGAAATGTTGGAATATTGCTAGTCATAGATGTAGGATTCATCTAAAAAAACAAAAAGTTGGGTGAGTAAATGAACCAATTCATTATGATGATACTTTTAATCTACCATGATCAAGGTTCCACACTGCTAGTAATTGATGATTATGCACTACAGATGGAACAATAAAGAATAATATTATAATAAAAAAGTTAGACAATAATCATTCGTGGGGCATTTTATTTCATCGTAATAATCACCAACAAAGATAATTGCATATATCACAAGAATGTGCAGAAAAAAAGACTTTGTTTTCTCTTCTAAATCATTGTTTTCACTTATAATAAAGTACAATACTTATGCATAAGACTATATAATTATATATTAACTATATAATTAATCTATTATTTGTAAAGTCTCATCAACTTTAAGAAGTATTGTGATATAATCACAGTTGTTAATCGCAATGATGACACCAAATTTCAGCATCGTCCCATGCATGCATTTGCATAATATTGTACTTTTACTGCACTATATGGCCATACTTGTAGTGACCCTCAAGTTTTTCAATAAATTAGCCCATACCAGCAATCAAACATTTTGCTTAGAAATAGGCTTAACATAAAAGATCTACCAAATTTAACTAAAGATAAAATAGTAAATGTTGGTGAAATATAATGATGAACATAGTCTTTAGAGCGAGGCAACAGTCATTTCTGCATCTTGTGATATACAGATGTGTAGCTGATGTAGAGACACAATGATTCAAAAGGTTTAAAGCAATTTGTATTGTATTTATCTGATATCCAGACACAGTTTGCTCAGCGCAGGGAAAACAGCCAATGCTGACTTGCTTGTTGCTACAAACAACTCAAATCTGTCCCTTCCAAATGCTTAAGACTAGATTTAAGTCTTTACTGTAATTATGAAGTGAATTAGTAAACTAGAATAAGATTAATAAATTGTTGTATTCAGACGGGTAAAGTTGTCTTGTTTGACGCGTTTCCTCGGATGTCCTGAGCGCCGCCTGAAGGTCCTCACCAAATAAACAATTCGGGGTCCTTCGTCGCCGTGTGAGCTCTATGGTGCTAGCCTTTCGAGCCTCCACAGCTGCACAGTTTTTTACATTACCTGCTCCCGGTAGACTGCGCCCATATTATTAGTTCACGGTAATGTTGAAATAGCAGGAAGTTGCCGCTTTGTTAAACTCCCATCTACAATAACTGGTTTGGTTTTCTGACGTCGAAGGGTGTGTTATTTTTGTTAGCATCATTAGCAGCCGCCGCGTTAGCTTTAGCGAACCAAACAAGGTTATTGTTTGTTATTAAGCTCTCCAATTAAACTATATAAGAGGTAAGTTTAACCGAAAACAGAATCTAATATGAACATATTTTGTTTTAATAAACCTTTTGCTGGCTTGTATCTCATTTCCAGCCATACCTTTCCAGAGTTATGCTAAGCTAGTGCTAATATCTTGCTAGCGCATTAAATGTACGCAGTTTTAAAATACTCAGTAGCTTGCAAAAAACTCATAGACATTGTGTAAATGTGCACAGATAAAACAAGCATGTTCTTGTGTTTCTGTTTTACCTTATTGTTGCCATCGTTAATTGGATAATTAATTTGTTTTTCCACAGGGAGGCGTTAATGAGCAGTCATGTCGGGCATCGCTTTGAGCAGACTGTCCCAGGAGCGTAAAGCCTGGAGGAAAGACCACCCATTTGTAAGCACCTATTGCTTTAGATTACAAAGAATGCATACAGAACTCTGTGACACTGACTCTTCTCTTATATCTATTTCTAATATATCTCTTTGTGTTGTCAGGGTTTTGTTGCTGTGCCTACCAAGAATCCAGATGGGACAATGAACCTCATGAACTGGGAATGTGCCATCCCGGGGAAGAAAGGAGTATGATCTTAATGTTTAACCACCCTCATTATATATTATTGATATGTGTGTCCTGTAACACAGCTCTGTTTCAATGTTCAGTTACAAATATAAGAATTAACGTAATACAAATGATTAAGACAATGTTTTTCTTTAGACCTTGTGGGAGGGCGGCCTTTACAAACTCCGAATGCTGTTCAAAGATGACTACCCGTCTTCTCCACCAAAATGTGAGTTATGATCTGTGATTGATAATTCTACTTTTAACATCTTTTAGTTGAGGCTATATTATATAAGGGCTTATCCCAGAGCAAAGCACTTTCACACATCCTCTTGTGTTTTAGAGATATTCAATGCAAAATCAGGTAATTGATGGTTTTTACAATGCCTTACCATATCCTGAACATACTGAGTTTAAATTTTAACCTCTGTTTTATTGTTTCTCCGCTCTATATTTAGGCAAGTTTGAGCCTCCAATCTTCCACCCAAATGTCTACCCATCTGGCACTGTGTGTCTCTCCATCCTGGA